CCGGTACAAACGCACTCTGATTCTCAGACACAACCTCAGGGAGAAGAAGCTTCAGTCGTAGCATTATAGCCTTTGACAGAAGCTTATACAAAACATTGCACAAACTAATAATTTGGAATTCAGACAAAAGAGTAGGATCATTCACTTTTGGGATTAGGGATATGTTAGTATTATTCACATAGCTCGGGGAGCATAAGCCATGCAAAATACTACTCACAAAACCAAAAAATCATCACCTACTATGTGCCAAAATTTTTGGTAAAAAGTTGCGTGCATATCCTCAGGCCTCGGGGCTTTGCAGGGGTGAATCTATTACAGGACAGAGAAGATCTCATCCTTTGTGTACGGGCGTAGCAACTCCCTGTTACTCTCACTCAAAATAAAAGACTCCACATATTGTAGCACATCCTGAATACTAGTGTCATCAGGTTTTGAAGATAGAAGTGAACAGCTTCGAGTAGTATTGTGAAACTACCTTTTCAAGCTCCTTTTCCTCTTCTCTCCATTCACCTTCCTCATCGAACAACCCTTTAATTCTGTTCTTTTTCTTTCTTTGTGAGGCCTTATAGTGGAAGTATGAAGTATTACGGTCACCATCCCTCACTTCTAGCACATGAGAGCGAAGATACCAATAGGCTTCATGCTTAGCGTGAAGATCGTCAAGTGTTCTCTCCAACTCTGAGCATTTCACACATTATCGTGGGTTATAGGCTGCCCCTGCACTTCCCGTAGGCTATTTTCAGCCTTCACAACTTTTTCTCCAAGGTTGTCAAACTTCTTCTTGTTCCACTCCATCTAGTCTCTCCCCATTGCTCCTAACTTTCCCACAATATCAAGAGTGCTCGCTACTTCCCATGACTTCTTAATTACCGACTCACAAAACCCATCCAAAATCCATGTTGTTTCGATCTTGAATTTTCTTCGATGTTTACTCTTCTTCTTTGCGGGCTGTTGAAGCCGAACCACAATAGGTGTATGGTTAGACGTATACCGCTACAAGTGTTCCACATTCGCATGAGGATACAACTACAACCATGACTGGGAAGCTAGAAACCTATCCAACCTCTCTCTCACACGAGTTTGAATCGTATTTCCTCGTTCCCATGTCCACCATTTACCCTCAAATCCTAAGTCCTGCAGCTCACAAACATCAAGAGATTCTCTAAATTTAGCTATCTCACCCCTCTCTCGATTAGTTTCCCTTCTATTTCTTCATAGGAAAGCAATTCATTAAAATCACCTCCAAAAATAATCAGACTCGGAGCTTCACTACATAACTGCTCAATTAGTTCCCAAGTGCGATGCTTATTAACTGCTTCTGGCCATCCGTACATCCCTACAAATCTCCACACAACATCCCCCTTCTTAACATATCCGCAAATATGGTTTTGAGAATATGAAATTAAGGAAGAATCAATACTCTCCTGTCTCCAAAAAGCACATAATCCACTAGATTTCACTTGGCTTGCCACCCCAAATGCATTTGAAAATCCAAAATTTTCTTTTACCTTTTCCAGCGCATCCTTACTGATCATAGTTTTCGAGATAAACACTAGATCAGGGGAAATCAAATTACTCCATTTACAGAGTCTATGAACTGTCTCGAGATTGCCCATTCCCCGACAGTTCTAACACAAAAGACTCATAATTCTTGACGCGGTTTGTCTCCTCCAACCTCCGTCATTATACTCTGAGCCACCATAGCTTGGAGACTAGTCTTACTTCTTTTTATCTCATCAGTTTCCCTATCCACCCCCTTCAGTTCACACTCCGACACACTTCTCTTCTTCCCATCAACCCTCACTCCAACCCCATCCTCATCCACCTCCATGTGTCCTTCCAGCGTCGGTTTCTCAAATCTCTTCCAAGTCCTCTTATTCCCCTGCACCTTATGCACTCCAAAAGTGAAATGTTCAGGCTCATTAATCTCTTTTTCTTCCCCTCCAGACCCATAACTCTTCTCACTGGTGGTATGCTCTTTTAAGTTCTGAGCAGGAGCATTTACCACCATAATATTCAGGTTAGTAGGCTGTTGCCCCAACTCACTCCCCTCCCTTGGCCTTTTTTTTCAGTCTCTCTATCGATCCTCTATCCTAGACACAACACTCTAGACTCCTCCCCCTTCTTCAACAGATGTAGCTCTTCATTCATAGCTTCTTTCTCCCTAGTTATGAAGAGCTGTTTTCTTGTCTAAGTGATAATAACCACCTCTTCTGCCTCCTTTGCGAAGCTCGCAAGTAAAAGCCCCACCCCGTACTTTTCTTCTTATCCTCCTCTGTCACCGTGTCACAATCCTTCTCAGAATGCCCCATCACTCGCACGCAAAATAAAAATACGGGAGACGTTCATACTTGAATTCAACTTTGATTTTATTGCCACATTTATCTCTTATCCGTCGTTGTCGCCTAATCGGTTTGCAAACATCAGTCATAATTCTCACTCTATGATATCGGTCAATCCCCAAAACATTGTCCTCCAGTTCAAGAAACTCCCCCAAATTCGTTGTTGGGCTTTAATATCATCATCCGACCTACAATTGAACGACAATTGCAAACCCTAATCTAGAAAGGGGAAAAATCAAGGCATACTTGTTCAGGTTGTTCGTCACCCGCCACATCTTTAATCACCAACAGGTTATTCTCCCAGCCCCATGGTCATCCCCTCAACACCTTCTCTTTGTCTTTCTAGTGAAAAAACTGAAACACATAGAGAATTGGTCCAATCACACGAATTAGCATACTGTTCGTTGTAGCTCAGACTTTGAATATAGTCCTCTTAAACGCCAAAATGTTATAGGGTCGTTTCGTCAGAAGCTTTCCCACTAACATCAATTCTAATTGTTCTTGGGTTCCAGAATTATTCGATCCTCCTAAATCAACCACATCATTGTCATCATCGTCTAATTGTAAACAGACTATTTTTATATCAGATCGGCGACCATAGTCGGAGAGCAATCGTTAGAGACAGAGGTCGGCTTTTCTTTCGAAGGAGCTAACCCTTTCTTTCGAGGAAGTTGTAGGTACGTCAGAAGTAAACAAATATAGTACTTGGTATAGTTGGTAATAGTTTCACTCTGTGACTCTTGAGACTGGGTTTTAAGGAGCCTTACATGTAAAGCCGAGCCGGGTTGACTCAAGTGAGGTTTCGAGTTTCTGTTGCTACTTTTAGAGACAAAGTTTTTTTTTTTTTTTTTTCGTTGTTAAGTTTAGAGACGGATTATTTTCTCCGTTGCTAAATTTAAAGACGGTTTTTTTCCGTTGCTAAATTTAGAGACGGATTTTTTTTCCCGTTGCTGATATGAGCGACGAATTTTTTTTTTTCCCGTTGCTAAATTTAGAGACAGATTTTTTTTTCCTGTTGCTAATTTTTTTTTTGCCTCTAAATCAATTTAGCGACAAGGTTTTTGCCAATGGAGTGATTTGGTCAATATATCCGTAGCTAGCTAAGTTCAGCGACAGATTTTTAGAAATTAGATACGAATTTCACTTGTCGTTAAAAGGCCAAATTTTTGTAGTGTTGGGTGAAAAAAAATAGTTATCTATTACTCCTTCTGTTTCGTAATGATCGCAACACTTTCCTTTTTCATCTGTTTCGTACATTTTAGTTTCATTTTATAAATTTCAAGTCGAGATAGCTCAAGTTGATACTGTAATAATATAAATTAAGATAAATTCATATCAAAAAAAGATGGTCAAAGTTGAGAAAACAAAAAAAGTCGAGTGTGTCTATCTTTGTAGGACGGAGGGATAAAGTAGTTATGTGGGATAGAATCATCTAATGTAAATTTTATAACTCTCCCCGTCCCAGAATATCTGAGACGTTACACTTTTTTCAATATTCATGCATTAGTTTTGACCATAATTCTTTACTAACATAATATAAATATATTTATCATAAAATAAATATATTGTTAGATAGGTATTAATATAAAGTTTCATAGTATAATTTTAAAAATAATTTTCATTCATATTTAATTATATAAAAATAAAGTCAAACTAATGCATTGACATGTGTGCAATGTTGACTGTGTCAAATATTCTGGGACGGAGGGAGTAATATCCATTTTTTTTCAATTTAAAAATATTTATAATTGGAGATAGATATTAATCGTTTAAACTATAAGTTGTGAAACTTGATAAAAGAAATGTGTCAACAAAAAAGGAGAAAGTATTATTTTTGATAATTTTTACAATAATAGATTTGCAGCTAATCTGTGGGGGGTCCAATATGAGTCACATTCCAATTTTCCTTATGAGGCGAGGAATTTTGGATTTCCTCGTGGGGAAAAATGAAATTGCTTATGAGGAAATTTCTTTTCACAAATAAGAGTACTTCTAATAAATATACAAAGCTATACAACAAGACATGATCTCAAAAAAAAAAAAAAAAAAAAGAAAAAAAAAAAAAAAAAAAGGAAAGATAAGTCCAAGTATACATGTGTTTAATTTCCCATCCCATGACAATAAATCGTAATAGGATCATTTATGTGCCAATTAGGCTATATCTATCATATTACTAGAGAAATATGCAAATGGTTATGATATTATACATGTGTTTATATATGACTATTCTCAATACAATTCGAATTTGGGTCGTCTTACTAACATTTATCAATATCCAATATTGCTCAACTTGATGCTAGCTACCAATATAGTGCGTCCGTACCATATTGCTATTGATCAATACCTATTGATAGAAAGAAAGCCAGGATACAACCAAAGTTATGGACGGCGATTTTTTTTTTTTTTTTTTTTTCTTTTGTTTAGGCGAATTAAGAATTAAGGATTGAGGATGACAAAAGGAAAGATAAGTCCAAATATTAGATGTACGAAAGGATAAGCAACTAAAAAAACGTGACTTTTTTTTTAAATTCTTTTTCTTTGATATTTGTAAGGACGAAGGCAAATTCGATAAACGGTTTGGTGTAATCTAAGTAAATTACTGTAGCCACTCAAAAGCTATCGAGATTTATCAAGCTATTTTTTTTTCTATCAATTTAAAAAAAAAAATAATAATAATAAAAAAAAAAAAAAACTTCACCTCATCTTGCCTATAAATAGCCAATTAAAGTTCTCCTACTCCACACTTCCCAACAATACAACGTAACTCGAGAATAATTGTTTTCAGGTAATCCTTCTCTCTACGTTAGAATTTTTACTCATTTCAATAATATTTCCCTCTTTCTTTCAGAAATTATTTTGTATAATGGTGTTAAGCAAGATAATATAATCTCTCGATTAAAGAGAGTGAGGGATAGGTTAAGTGGTTAAAACTTCCCTCCCAATTTCAGGTGATTCTAGGATCGTTTTTTATCATTATTCACACTAGATAAAAATTTGTGAAGTTGTGATTTTCATATCTACGTACTCTTCACCAGCTCACCACATGTATTGATTTTAATTAACCACACTTGATAACTGTCTAGCACAATCAAGTCTATACCATTATGTAAGGGAGATTTTATTTATTACTCGATGTATATAGTATTTAGAAATGACTTGTTACATTGATTATTATATAAGCGATGACTTGTGTTCTTACATTACTTTACGTGTTGTTGTGACATTCTTCACTCGTATAGGTTTTTACTACATAATATGTTTAACAAAGAAGGAAAAAAAAAAAAAAAAAAACCTTTTTTTCATTATGTTATGTTATAGTTAAAAAAAACATGTATGAAAGTTACAAGATAAAGAGTAGTAGTATATGTATATCAGTATATGTTTAAGACCTCCTTGAATATTAGATATCCCGTTAGTATCAAGAGTTGGCTTACCAATGAGGTCTTGGCCTAGTGGTTAAGATTGTGAGCATGTGTATGATAGGTTAGTTCGAATCTTGAGTAACTTGATTTATTTAGCTAAGTACATGTGCACATACTATTTCGTAGGCTAAATTAAGAGAAGGAAGAAATCATGGCTGATACAAACGTCACACTAGAAGAAGCTGTGCCTGTGGAGGATGTGGAAATTGATATGGAAGCTAAGGCCAAGGAATATGATACACAAACTCGTGTTGCCGGTAATGAATATCGAATGACAACTGACGTCAAAAACTTTAGCAAACGTCTTGTGCATGTGGTGGAGACTCATTTTTGGCACGGGCGTACACTTACTAACTTCCCTAACCTCGCGGTTAATACTGGTGCTGCAATGCGCCAGGCCGGGACTCTTCCCGAAGGCGTCAAGTGGGGAATCACCTATGCTGACGGCGATCAGGCCAGTAATCGTAAATTCATTGTTGCTGTTCATGGCCCAACGGGCAAGGTAATGTATCACAACGTGGTTGCATATTTTATTTTTTAGTCTAAGAATATTGAAGTGACTCGTAATGCTATTGTACAGATCTATGTTGAAAGTGGGCCAATAGGTCCAGTCGATTGGAATGTAATTGAAGTCAAACTGGACCGACATTCCGGAAACAAAGCCGATATCACTGACCCAATTTTTGGAGCCAGGATTGTGGCAGAGATTTCCGGTACCTATGCAGTTGCAAAGTTCTATAATTAGCTAGCTAGGCTCACAAGTCACAACTCTTGAGCAAGCTTGCTAAAATTTCGCTTTACTTGTTTGTAATGTTGTGTTATGTATCTCGTATTCTCGTGTATGTGTTATATGCTATGTATGCTGTGTCTACGTGACACATGAATAAATGGTGAAGCTCCCCTGTAGAATGTACGCATGATCTTGAGTTTGTAACCAACTGAAAAGGAGGGTGATGCTCCCTAGCTTTCTATGTTTGCAATAAAAATCCAAGTATATATATTAATGGTTATGAATGTTTTTCTTTATTACTTGTACTCCCTTGACTTCCCTTCAAAACTCAGTTATCCTAACAAGCGAACCAAAGAAACCTTTGTTGAACTTTGGACTCATAATAACATTTTACATGACATTGGGGCCCCAATCTTTAGGGGACTCTATACGGTCGCCAAGTTGTGCCACGCCAACATTGCCCTTGGCCACACAGAAGACTTACTGTTTATCTAAATATCTAACAACTAAGAGAAGATACATTTGTTGATGAAATACCTGTCGATTCCAATAACAAATAGAGAAGATGAAAGGGAAAAAACTCGATTGATGATCTCAATAATACAGTTGTGCCACAGAATAGAATCTACTACATTAGAAGCAAAATTCGCCACCACCGGTACAGGTTTCCTGATGACGCACTCCCCTAATGTTAACACAACTCTCCTCGTAACTCGTGTACCCAAACCCGAAGAGTGAAATTACTCAAGAACTGTTCAGATCTCAAATGGTAGGTGTGTGTTTTTTGTGTTTAGGGTTTCAGAGATAACAAAATTATATATCTCAATTTGGGGATAAAGAGTATATATATATGTGTGTACAAAGAAAGGATATAAATAAAGCAAACAAGGCCTCCTCGCTAAGCCCACTCACGAACGAGCTCTCACTCTCGGACGAGCGAGCTATCGCTCGGCCCTACCGCAAGCAACATGTGCATCGAGCTAGCAGGCAAGCTATAGTTTGCACCTGCCGTAAGCAACGCAACGAGCTATAACTCGCATCTGCTGCAAGCCAAGCAATCATCCGAGCTACCATCCGAGCTATAGCTCGGCCTTGCCGCAAATCATTTGCCTTGTGAGCTATATCTCTCTCGTTAGCTCCTGGCACACAACGTTGCTAGAGGGTAACAATACTCACTTAGCAACACTCCGATTTGCATTACAAGTATTATTATTCCAACAATCCCCCACTAATGCAAAACGGTCTGAGATCATGAAATCTGAATAGTAAATGAAAGGTTAGCTACTTAAGCACTAGTATCCATAACGTTTGAACTAATACCTTAGTGACACAGGTATTCAACACTCTTCTAGTGAGCATCCAAAGGTTTGAACTCCTAGGAGCGAGGAAGGAACATGTATCACATACTTTACCTTTTGAGCTTGAGCAATTCCGCCAGTCTTGGCCAACACATTGGGCTCTCATGAGTACTTCATGAAAACATCTCCACAGTCTTTCCCTTGAAGGAGGACACCCCTCGTACTCACGTAGGTGTTCCATCTGTGTATAAATTACACATTCCAAGCACATATAGGGTGTTTCCCTGCAGGCTTAAAACACATTCAAGCACCTTGCAAACCCAAGATTCTCTATGCAATGGAATAAGAACATTTAGAACGTAAAGTTCAACTTTATCAACTCGACGGTGCATCTATCAATCCATTACTCAACGAGCTCTTAGGCTAGATGCATTAAGGGATACTCCCAACCTCAATCATTCGGTACCACTATCGTTCCCTACTCGAGTAATATCAGGGGCCATAACGTTGTCAAGAAAGGAGCTTAGTGATTCTAATTCATTTAAGGATCACTATTGTTCCCTACTCTCGAGCAACTAGGCTAGTAGTATTAAGAGCAAGCAACGCTCAACCTTCCACCTTCAGTGTCATTATCAATCCTACTCTAAGAGCCACTGGGCTAATGGTCTTAAATCCACTTAAGAACCATTATCAATTCCTGCTCAAAGAATAACTAGACAAATGACATTAAGAGCCGCGCTCAACCTAATTGAATCTACCTGGTCAACAAACCACTCAAAAAGAGTTAAAGATTCAACATACACAAATAGTATAAATCCAACAATGAGTCAACCAAAACAAGGCTCCGGACTCATTCAGAACAAAAGTTCAAAAAAATTAAAGCACTTTGGTGTGTCCATGTAAGCTGTCTCAATTGACCACCCAACCTAGGTTATGGACATATTAAGAGCATTTAAAGCTCGACCCGTTAACATCAAGCAACAAGTCTACTAAAGCATCTCATAACCATATAAATTAGAGGGTTATCAAGCCAGATAACTTTAGAACATAGACTGATCATTTAAAACTTTGTCACTGGAATAAATTAACCACACATAATCTTAAAAACATTCCCTTAGACAATCAAGCACTTACCTGTGCTTCATCCTTGGATAAGGACCTGCTTGATTCTTCTTTGCTTTCACATACTCTAACATGAGTATCACCTCCACAAGATCTATCTAACTCTATCACTACATCTGTAGTTCCTGACAACATACATAGACACTTGTGAAAATTAATGTAGAAAACATGAGGATCAACTTACCCCCACAATGGACAAACTTCCAGAGATAAATTTTGCAAAAATCATCTTCTTGACACACGTCATCCAATCTAATGAACCTTGCTTCCTAATGGATAGTGTACAACAATTTATTTTGCAACTCACTCGAAACAGAGCACCACCCTTCATCATGTAAAAACCATACACTAAAGAGGTTCAACTAATCATCAGTGTTCATTCAATCATTATCCTTAGATCCTACTGGAACAGGTACTTGAGAATCTTTCTCACTTAACCTTTATCCCTGCATTACTCAAAGCTCAAACAATAGTTGAGTAATTCTCTCTTGACAAACAAAATAAACGATGAATTTCCCAACAAAACAATTTCATGTCAAGAATAATTTGTTAACTCATTTAACTTGCAAAATATTAGCACATTTGAATCAAACATCAAAGGCTAAAACACAAAATTAACTATGGCTTAAACATGATAAACATAGTTTACCAAAACACTTTCCCTACATTACAAAAATGAGATTAATGCGTACCTTTAAAGATTCATTGGTTTACTAACCAGAACCATGCAGCTTATCTCAATATCTCGTACTTGTTTCTTATCTTTGAGACTTACATACATCTCTATCTCAATAAACAACACGCATGTAAAGTTAACAACATGTGATCATTCTAGCATATGAACACTATCAATGCAAACCATAATAACTTCACACATGCATCAAGAGGTTCAACACACATACCAAGACTAACTTGATAAAACAAAGTCTGGGTACTTACATGTAACCCCCACTCACCATACATATCACAAAGGATAAAACAACATGAGAGAAATACCCCATCTTCTAAGTTGTCACCTGTGTATGCATTTTAAATACATACCTTTTTTATTTGAAATCTATTATGATAGGGTAGCTTAAGCAACCTTACTGCAAAACAGACAAGCTTAAAACAAAATAGGTGAGAAACAAATGTGGATTAACACCAAACTTACCCTGTAAGGAATTTTTCAAACATCAACTTTGAGCCCCACTGTGATCATGCATTTAAGCATGGTGGCGTCTAAAGGGAAAGAAGCTAAAGATAAAAGAGTCGCCAACAAGTTTTATAAACTTGTAAACCGTTCACGGATATGAAGGTTATACCCCATTCACGATCACAGAGATCACTAACTCCATAGTGTTCCGGAACCATGACTAGATATTCGGGAATGATGGAACGAATCCAACCTAAAAGAGATTGAACCCACCCTAAATCGGCCTCTACTTAATTCTTATGATATTCATGTGCGCTTTTCGATCAACCTACATTCATTAAATTAATCCTAAGCATATTTAATCTACGTTGATTGATTATTAATGCACAAATAAATCTATTATTGGCGATCACTTGAATTAATATCATATTAAGCCTAAAAAACAAATTATTAATTATCTTATTAACGTGATTTCAAGTACAAATTCCCTTAAACCTGTAGAAAGGGCGTGATCAAGCAATAACAATGAATAATGAATAATCAAGCAACATAATTGACACAACAATCATCATCATAATCAATGTAAACATAATCTCATCAATAGTATAATTAGCAAGATCCTAGGGATGATACTAAACATATTAATAACAAATTCTAGCATGTCACTAAATAGTAAAGATTAAAGCTTTAGCCTAAACATGATACTAGAAATATTAATTAACACCCTAAACATGATACTAGGAATCAAAAATCAACATCCTAACATGATACTAGAAATCATAAGAAACATCCTAACATGATGGTAGGAATCAATAAAGACATCCTAACATGATACTAGGAATCAATAAAGACATCCTAACATGATGCTAGGAATCAATAAAGACATCCTAACATGATTCTAGGAATTAAAATAATATTCTAAGCATGACTTCTATATCAAAGGAATAAATAAGTAATCGAATTACTTACTTTGATGCCCCGTATCTCTTTCTATCAAAACAATACACATGTTAGTAACTTCAAGAAAGATTAAATCAAATAAACCAAATAAATCAAATATGAATTGAAATATAGATTTGGGACCAAACCCTCAGAACTATCAACCTTTCATGTCGAGGTCGAAGGCAATTACGAGTTTGGCTAGGAGTATTTGAAGCTCGTGAAGGAAGTATGGTGTATGATATCAAGAAGGTGTTGGGATGTGTTTAGGCTAGGCTAAGAAAGAAAGAGAGAGATAGAGAGAAAAGCTTTTAGCTTAGAGAGGGGATTAGATGATGATTGTTGATCAAGCTTATTGATGATTGAAAATGGATGAAAATGACCTCTATTTATAAAGAAAAAAGAGGGTCGAAGATTAGAAAAGAGTCAGAATCCGACTCGGAGTCAAACAGGCACTATTGCGACCCAATATTTCTATCGCAGCGCGATAGGCTTATCGCAACGCGATATTTCTATCACTCAGCGATATTTTTAGAAGATAGAATCCGTACGGAATCCGACTTCCAATCAAATTGGGTAAATCGAATATCCGTACGTATTCTAATTTTATCATAATCAAAATCATTGAAAAACAAATGTTTTATCCGATGTAAAATTCTTAAATCTTTATCTTTTCAAAAACAGGACAAATTTGATCCTTCTAGATGATTCTAGAAGCTAATAATAAATCCTAAGGGATTTAGGATTGAAAACAACCTTCTAGTGGATTCTAAAAGCTCATAATAA